GCGATAGGTTCTTTATGTGGTAGCTCACGGTTTTATTTTACGTTTAGATGCGTAAGAAGGGTTCCGTTCGAGGCACTTTGGCTGCTGACGTCTAGAGGAGTTCTCTGTAGGTTCTGAGGCAAATCAAGCTGTGTAAGTCAACTGCTGGATGGAAAAGGAGAAAAGTGATTCATGTTCTGATGGATGGGAATTGCTGGCAGAAATCATCTAAATGGACGTATATCCAGATAACACTCCTGGGCCTTACCTCCCTCCTGTGTGATAACCTTCTGGTGGTCAACAGTTGGAGATGACCCTTGGTGTCCAGGGTACATAAGAGACCTTCTCCACAGACGGGCACTGTAACAGGCTGGGCAGGTGCTCGGTCCGGTGGCAGAATGCCTGAGGCGTTGGCCACGTAACCTGGTTCTTTGTGCTTATCTAATACAGAAACCCAAAGCGTGTGACCTGTTGTCATCACTGTGCTGGCCCTGAGCGCTGAAGCCTGCCAGTAGTCTTTTGGGCACAAATCGGAAAAGTCAATGAGCATCATTTTGCTACACACTCAGTAGCAAAGTGATATGTGGACTTAGCCCACATAATTTAGGGAAACTGTGGACTGTCATCTTCAAAGCGCGTTAAGTTCTTGAAATCCAGTTCCACGCAGATATTTATAAATACTAAATCGTGTTAAAACTGTTACTGCGGGAAACGGGTTGTCCAAGAGGTGCAAGCTTTGGAGTATTTGCATCCAGTACTTTAATGTTGGTGTTTCCCGCTGTGACTGTTTTAATGCTGCAGATGGGGTCCCCAGCCAAAGCAGCGTTAAAATCCTGCTGATTAGTGTGAGGCTCCTCAGAGACTGGAGCTGCTGTCCGCCAGCGGGGACAGCACCCAAATTAAGATTCCCTAACAAGTCCTGCGTTGCTTTGGTATGATTTGCTCAGTCCTGGTGATGTTTTAACTGCCCTGCCCTGTTTTTCTTGGAGATTAATGAAACTGCCTATTTGGAACTTACTGTTTGAGGAAACTATTAATGCTTAATTGTATATTTTCTTTCTCCACAGTTACGTAATCAAGGCCAAGTCAGAGGAACAAGTGCTGCCAATGATGAATGATGATGGACTTAACCATCACATGCAGTGTTGATATACAAATGTGTGTGTGGATGCATGATTATTTGTATATAATTATATATACGCACATGCATACTGAAGGAGGTTGTTACAGTGTCTCCAGGGTACTATACCTGTCCTCAGCAAAGATTCAAAGGAAACTGCTTTCATTATGTATACCTGAAGCAAATAAAAATCAACTGAGTAGTGTCATTTAAAGGATGAATTAACTGCAGAATTATGCTAACTGATATGTTTCATGAATGTCAATACTGGACCAATTTATTCCCTACTTGTTTTTTTCTGTCTTGAGTCACTCTGCTATAACTTGCCCATATCTCATTGTAAAGAAACAGATTCAAATAAGTTAATCTCAGTTTTGTGTATTCCCTATGTGATTATTTTTGGAATAGGAACAATGAATGTATTTATAGCTATTTATTTCTGGATTGTCATTATCCTATAGTCAAATCAGAAAAAAATTTCTATTAGTGGAAATTGGAAGACTTTTACTGTTGAATAAGTTTAACCCAAACTTTACCCTTTCACTGATTTAGAAGAAAAAAAAAATCATGTTTTATTGGACTTTTGTACATTGAAATCTTAATGTTTTTTCTTCATTAAAATTGGCAAGATTAAGGAAAAATGGCTTGTGATTTATAAAATAATTGCAACTTGAAATTTTCCAGAAGCTGGCTTTTTAGACAAAGATACTGACAATACTTGTAGAATATTTCAAATATATCTTAGGCCGTGCAGTGAAAGTGAAGGGGGATGATAGCTCTTCCCTGAAGTAATACTTCCTGTTAATGAAATCGCTATTTTCCAGAGTTTCACTTTGGAAGCTATGCAAATGGTATTGATTTCACACACATTACGCAATGGAATATAATTGTGATTTTAGCTCTTTTCATGTTGAAAATACACTTTAAAAGAGATGTATACTTTCAGATATGATGAAAGTTTAAATTGTAGCATCTGACATATTTCTCTGATACTTGTTAGGAGTAGACACATAAAAGAAAAGATGGTATAATAAAGACCTCCTGTAGATAACTCTCAAATACAGAAAATGTCTTCAGCATTTTTTAAGGAAATATTCAGAGCATATCATAGATATATATTATCAAAATGCTTGCTAGATCAGAAACAAATTATTTTAAAAACACTAGTTTAGATAAAGTTCTATTAATGCCTGGTTTCCTCCCAGCATCCCCAGAAACTTCGGTGGGGCAAACCTTGCTTAAGCTTCCATCTTCATAATCTCACATACGTCCAAGTATTTTGGAATCATTTTGGACCTACTTTGCTTACAAAAGGAGTGATCTCATTTCCATTACGGGCAGTGACAAAAATTTCCTAAGCTTCCAGGGCGGGCCAAGTCTGCCGAACGACTTGCCCTGCCGGGGCGCCTGTCCGCTGCGAGTACCAGGCACCGACGCGTCTGCCGCGGTGTCGGCATTTGTACCTCTCTCCTGTGTAATTCCACCCTCCTACCCCCTGTGCTGCAAAAATTCTTTTTTTTTCCCTTTCTGGATTAGCAGTTAAATGGTATTTGTCCTCTGTTCCATCAGGAGGTTGGTTTTGTAAGTATACATAGAGACATGCGCACACATACACACATGCACATGATTTTAAAAGTGTTTACAGCCAGGAGGGCTGCTGCACACCTGGGAACCCAAGGGCTCAGTTCTCTCTTAAGTGCTGGAATACGAGTCCCGCTGTCATTGATGTGAGTCATAATGCAAACTGAGGGAAAGGGACCCTACAACTTTCATGTTTTTGGACTAGTGAAAATTCGAGAGAATCTTGTAGTGAATGTAAAATGTTTAGTTTACTTTGGCAGTCTCTGGTGTGACCTACAGTAAAACAGTCAATGAAATTTAATTAAATAAATTTGATCATAAAATGCTCTGTCTCTTGTCTTAGGTAATAGTATTTGCAGTTTGCTAATGAGCTGGCATTTAGTTTTATTGAGCTGTACGAGAAGGTTGGAAGTCCTCTAAGGCTGCGTTGCAGTGGTTGTGAGCTCAAACCTGTGTTTGAATGTTAGTAGCCATCGGGGGGAGGGAAGGGCTTGTTTGGATTTTCGTTTAGGATTTCAGGCTGAGCAACACATACTTAGCTGGAACCTTGCCACTATCCCGAGTGGGGATGTTGGGTATTATGACTGCCTGCCTTAACATACCAAGCTGACGATTTTGCAGACCCTTGCGTTTGCTCTCGGTCTGCAGTGGCTCTCTGGTCTGTGGCTGTCTTCATGTGTTACAGCTGCTGCTAATTCTGCACCTTGCCTGTGCGAGGAAAGGATCGCCCCGCCGTGCAGAGAAGACGGGGTGGTGTAAGGAGGAGGCTGCAGCACTGCCAGGCTGGCATTAGGGGGTGGAGGCGTGGAAGTCACCTTGCCCGGTGCAGAGACTGGTTTCCAAAAGCGTGGCTCCTTCAGACTGAAGTAGAACAACTGCTCTTGCAGAACACCTGAGGAAGTGGTGTGTAAATTTGCGGGTCTCTTGGCAAGGGTGTCTGAGAAGCCTTTTAAGCTGGGGTAAGATTTTTCGAGTATAGAATATGTATGTGTGGGGTGTGGCGGAACAGCTGGGCAATCACAGGCCCGTTTAGTCTGGTGTCAGTGATACGCAAAGCTTCAGAACAGACTTCTGGAGAAATAATTAGAAGTGGAGTAGGTAATACAAAATTAACAGAGGCAGTTGCAAGTAGGTTGCACCAGATGATTGTGTTATGTCCCGGAGCACTTGCGGTGGTCCTCAAGAATAAAGAGATGTATTAGACTGGGAGAGATGAAGCTGCTCAGAGCACCTTCAGAGGTGGAGTTTTGACGGGAGGAGGGGGTTGGGGATGGTGGGTGCCTCTTGAGCAGTGCACGGTGCCGGGGGTGCTGATGAGGGCGGTGGCGTCCCTCCCCAGCTGGTCCCATCCTCTCTGCCCTCATTGCTCTCACCTGCCTGGCCAGAGCTGCACAGGGGGCTCGCAGGTGCCTTTGCTTTGCAGACCGGTGGCTTCCAGCCCTGTGCGGGGAGGGCAGCCGAGGGGGCAGAGGCAGCCGCTTGAGTCGAGAGGGGCTTGCGGAGGAGTTCGTGTTTCTGCACAGCGGTGCTGGCCTTTCCTGGCTGTGTCACTGATCAGATGCGTCTCCTGGTAAGTTAGCTGGCCTCAAGAGGAGGAGCAGGAGCTCGTTAATGCTGATTAAAACCATTGTCCCACAGGATGAGAAATCTGGAAATGGACCATGGGCTGCCAATCTGCTGAAGCTGCTGGATTGCAGAAAGCATTTGTGATTTTTAAAAGTTTTTTAAAAAATACATAGTCATTGTTAGGTAGTGTGGGGTCCTCTCGCTCTCTGATCAGGCCCCAGTAAGTGCTGCAAGAGCTGCAGGTGGAACAAGAAGAGACTTTGTGCTCGGTACGTACCGGACAAAAGCTTGCCTCTCCGTGCCGCATTAGAAGCCGGGTCTGGCTTCCTCTCCCTGGCTTCAACTTTCTTATAATGGAGCATGCTGGTAACAACCTAGTCTTTACTTCAGGTATTTAAAAATAACCTAACTGCTGGAGTGAGGAAGAGGTGATCAGAATTGTGGCAGGAAAAATATTCTTTTCAGTCATATAAGTGATAAGTTACAGAAAGGCTTGAGAGTAATGGCTGCTTACTGCAAGGCATCTTTGCAGGTTTTACAAACGACAGTGTGACTTTTCCTCTCGGGTCCCAGTTTTCAGCATTTCCTGATGAAAGCTTGAGTTAAACTGGCACCTGTGTTGCTGCTTGGAATTGTCTGCAACAAGGCTTTACTCTTGTTCCCCCTCCCCTCTTCTCAGCACTTAGCTCACACATGAGCTATTGCTGACGAGGTAGCTGGCACTGGGTTTACTGCCTGCCCCTGCTGACCGGCTATGCTCAGGGTTTGCCCCCTGACGGCAGAGGCTGCTGCATGGCTGGAGAACGGCCGAGGCATGCGGAGCGCAGTGCAGCAGGGGCAGCGGGAGCGGGAGCGGCTGTCGCCCCTGAGCGCTGGGACCTACGGTGGATGTGTGTTACGGGATGCTGGAAGTGATTTCCAGCGATGCTTTAGTCCAGGGAGGTACCGCAGAGACAGGATTTCTCTGCAGCAGCGGATGTGAGGGGCAGAGTGTCTTGCACTAAGGCCCAGTCCATGCGGGGAGCGGGCTGGCACCTCAGCGGCTGGAGGCTGACTCCGGGGAAGAGCAGCAGCTGCAGCAAGAACAGTTCAGATCCACTAGTTTTGTGTTTTCAGCAGCGAGTCTGTCAGAGGAAGGATGCTTATTTTACCTGAACAAAAGTCAAAGGGCTGCATATCGAATAGGAAGGAAGACGCACGTGCCTCCGTCCCCGGTCTAGTGTTGGAAACCTGCAGCTGGCACTAGCTAAAGCTCCTTGAGGGTGTTACCAAGGCAGGAGAGGGTGTGTGGAGACCCCCCTCGATCTGGGCACCTGGGCGATTCACAGCTGCTACTCGGTGTCTGGGGAGCAGGAACTTGTAAAGGGGGGGGGGTGTTGGTGCATGTCTCGGTGGTACCGAGGGCGGC